TGAGCCATGGCCACTGAGCCTGCGCGTCCGGAGCCTGTGCTCCGCAAATGGGAGAGGCCACAACAGTGAGAGGCCCGCATAACGCAAGAAAAAAAAAAAAAAAAAGGTATAGAGACTCGTATGTTGAAAATCCACATACCACTTCCTAAGCTGAGAAATAAAATATCGAGATGTAATTGAAGCTTCCTGCAAATGCCCTCCCTCCCCAGCTCTATTTGGGGTTCACTGACTGGGGAAGGAATACTTACGAACTACCAGATGCATGACTGGCTAGAAATTATCCTTTTCTCTGCTCAGTCTAAAGTAAGATTCAGGGTGTAGTTTCTCCTGGAGAGATGCCTTGCATGGGTGTGTGTGTGGAGGGAGGGGGGTGGTGCTCCAAGATCCCTGGCGTCACTTACCGACCCCGGTGATGTAGAGCAGGGCTTCAGCTGGAGTGGTTTCGGGTCCATAGTATTAAATCTGAACCTATAGGACAGGAGTCAACCACTAATGATTTCCCTTAGTCATTCAACAAACACTAATTGGCCTGCTATGTACCAGCTCAGAGCAGGGTGCTGAGGAGACAAGGATCAGGCTCCCAGCCTGTTAGGAACACCCCAGCTGCTGGGAGCGGAAGGGGAGCAAAACACTCAAGTGACTATGATGTATAGAAGAGGGTCCTTTGGGAGACCAGGGAGGCAGCGGCTTCCTCTGCCTGCATGGTGTCAGGAGTTCAGCAGATGGGGATGTGGTGGAAGAGGCATTGGAGGGAGAGTGGCAACACCAACTCCCAGCACCCAAGGTTAAAAATCCAGGAAGAACCCCTCTGGCTGGCCCAGCCTGACCAGAGGAGGGCAGAGTGTCAGGAACCACACTTCTAAGCAAGATGACGGAGGGGAGTTCCCCAAAGCAAAACCAAAGAGCTGCCACCAGAAGAAGGGGAGCTCCTGAGGGTCGCACTGAGGTGTCTCGACCTGTCCTGCAGATAGTGGGAATCCAGGGAAGTGTCACAGCCACTGTCACCTTGCATCTGGACCACGGCATCAGCCTCCTGACTGGTTGCCCTGCCCCCAGTCTGCTGCCTAGATCTAACTGACTCACTACACTGTAGCCAGTGGGTCTTTCTAACATACATAAGTGGTCTTGTTACTCCTGGATGAAAGGTTGTCATTGGCTTCCTGTTGTTCTAAGAGAATGAGGTCTCTGATGCCAAACCCTCTAACACTGGCTCCCTCTCTCTCTCACCTTCCCTTCTACCTTCCTTTCTTTCCATACAGCTCTTCCTCAGCTTCCCCAACACACATCTCACCCTCTCTTATCCAGAGTGTGCACACAGGCCACATCCCCTGTGTGGAGCTCTCGCTTCTCTTTTCCTCTCTTAAGCAGGTCATTGATACCATCCATCAGCTTGCCACTTCTCCCAGGAAGCGTTCTCTGATTGCACCCTTGCTGACCGGCTTTGATGCCCAAGGTCTGTATTCTTAGAGCAGGCAACAACTCTGCCCCAGGAGGTATCCTGCTTGGCCTGTCCTGCTGGGAACCAGTGGTTGCTGTCCCAGATCTCTGTGGGAATCCTGGAGGGTCCTGTTAAGTCCATCTATAGCCAATGCGGCTACAGTGGGTTGAATGGTGATTCCCCAAAAGATACGTCCACGACCTAATCCCGGGATCCTGTGAATGTGACCCTATTTGGAAAAAAAGATCTTTGCAGATGTAATCAAGGATCTTGAAATGAGATCATCCTGTATTATCCAGACAGGTCTTAAACCCAATGACAAGTGTCCTTATAAGAGTGAGGCAGAGGGAGGTTTGACAGGTTGAGGAGGAGGTAATGGACCACGGAGGCAGAGACTGGAGCGATATGGCCACAAGTCCAGGAACACCAGCTGCCACCAGAAGCTGGGAGAGACCAGGAACTGACTCTCCCCAGAGCCTGCAGAGGGCTGGGGCGCTGGGTCGATTGAGTGCCTGACCTGTTATGACCTGCTGACCTCCTCCGACACATCCCAGCCCACGGCTGCCACACTCACCTTCCGGTCCCCTTTGCTATTGCTGGCAGCTCTCATCTTCAGGCTCACTTCCAGCCCAGGGGCCAGGAGCCACTTGGAGAAACCTGTGAGATTCTTCTTGGCCGGAGGGCGGTGGGCAACATCTACGACCACTCCTGGGGAAGCACTGATGCTAAAGGATGTGCAGTCCTTAGGGGCAGAGCTGTGGAAGAGACAGATGGGGAGGACAGGGGGACACGGTGAGGCAGTGTCTGGCCCACTACTGCTCTCCCCACTGTTCTTCCTTTCCCCACCAGTGTGGACACCAGAAGGCAGCCAGACTGACCCTGACCATGGGAGTAAGTACTGGTAGGTTGTCAGGAGGAGTGAGAAACAGAAAGAAAATTCCCTGACCTGGAGAGGCTACGCTTGAACTAAGAAAACACACACACACACAGATGTATGCATAGAGTGATGTGTGCACCCAGATGTTTATATTACACAAACATGCACACACAGTGTTGTGCATATATGAAGAATCATACGAACAGTACAAACAGTACTCTGAAGGACCTTCCCCTTACCAAACAACTGGATCATGGTTAGAATATACCTACTTATTTATTTATTTATTTAGTTTTGGCTGTGTTGGGTCTTCGTTTCTGTGCGAGAGCTTTCTCCAGTTGCGGCAAGCGGGGGCCACTCTTCATCGCGGTGCGCGGGCCTCTCACTATCGTGGCCTCTCGTTACGGAGCACAGGCTCCAGACGCGCAGGCTCAGTAGGTGTGGCTCACGGGCCTAGTTGCTCCTCAGCATGTGGGATCCTCCCAGACCAGGGCTCGAACCCGTGTCCCCTGCATTGGCAGGCAGATTCTCAACCACTGCGCCACCAGGGAAGCCCTAGAATATACTTTTCAAAGCATTGCTGAGATGGGAAAAGGAAGGGAAATTGCCAAGAATTCCCTTCTTTGCATACACACACACACACACACACACACACACACACACACACACACACACACACATCTCACTGTGGTTAAGAATACCAAAGACATGGGGCTTCCCTGGTGGCACAGTGGTTGAGAGTCCGCCTGCCGATGCAGGGGACGCGGGTTCGTGCCCCGGTCTGGGAAGATCCCACATGCCGCGGAGCGGCTGGGCCCATGAGCCATGGCCGCTGAGCCTGCACGTTTGGAGCCTGTGCCCCGCAACGGGAGAGGCCACAACAGTGAGAGGTCCACGTACCGCAAAAAAAACCCAAAGACAAACAGATCTAAAAGGTATCCAGAAAGAAGAAAAGTCAGGTCACCTATAAAAGAATAATAATTATCAATAGATTGAAAGTAGACTTCACAACAGCAGTAATGAAATCCAGAGGAGAGCTGTATAATATCGTCAAAGTATCTTGAAAAAATAACTATTAACTTAGAATTGTGTGCATAAAAAATTATATTTTAATAAAAACATTTTCAGATGAAGAAAAACTGATATTTTAAAACCAACATACTTTCACTAAAGCAACTTCTAAAGACATACTTTAAGAAGAAGATACCTAATGTCAGGATCATCTGGATGCAAGAAAAAATGGTGAACAAATAACATGGTAAATATTTTGGTAAATCTAAAAAATATTGTCTGTATAAAAAATAGTTTATAAAAATATCAAAATTGTGAGATTAAAAAAAAGAGCAGAATGTAAACTGGGAGAGGTAATGAGAGTTAAAGTGGTATGAGATCTTCAATTGAAGACAGAATTAAGATAGTGTTTAATTCTAGAAATGTAAAAGTATTCACCAAAAGAACAGAAATGGAGTTCATAAATTTCTATACATGGAGAAAATGCAATAATTTTTTTAAAAGAATGGATAATTCCATTCAAAAAGGCAATTACAGGGCTTCCCTGGTGGCGCAGTGGTTGAGAGTCCGCTTGCCGATGCAGGGGACGCGGGTTCGTGACCCGGTCCGGGAGGATCCCACATGCCGCGGAGCGGCTGGGCCCGTGAGCCATGGCCGCTGGGCCTGCGCGTCCGGAGCCTGTGCTCCGCCACGGGAGACGCCACAACAGTGAGAGGCCCGCGTACCGCAAAAAAAAAAAAAAAAAAGGCAATTACAGAGAAAAGGGCAACATAGAAAAAAAGAGACAACTAAAAACTAAAAAGCAAATGGTAAAAGCAAACTCAAATATATAAATGATCAAAATAAATATAAATAATGTTACTAGTTAAAAGAGAGTTTTGGACTAGATAAAGAAATAAAATCCAGCTCCATGCTATTTATAAGAGATGAACCTAAAATACAAGGATCCAGGAAAGATAAAGTTTAAAAAAAAAAGGAAAAAAGATACATTAAGCCAATATTAGCCAGAAGAGAGGTGGGATGGCTATATTAATATCAGACAAAATTAATTTTTAGACAAAACCCACACTATTAGCATATAATTTACATTAGGAAGAAATACTGTAAAGTACCTAGGATAAATCTAACAAAAGATGTGTAAGGCTTTTATGGAGAAAAATGATCAAACCATATTGAAATCAATTAGAGAAGACGCAAATTAGAAGACAGAAATACCATGAACATGGTTAGGAAGGCTTAATATCATCATGGTATGAATTCTCTCCAAATAGATTCATATGGTCAGAGAAATTCCAGGGTTTTACTTGAACTTGACAGGTTGATTCCAAGGTTTACTTGGAAAACCAAGGGGCTAAGATAGTCAAAGTACCTTTTAAGAAAAAGAAGCAAAAGGTGAGGGACTTGCTCTACCACGTATGACTTACTGTAAAGTCATGGATTGCATTGTAATGGCTTAGGTAAAGAAAATGACAGATGCAACTTAAGAGAGATTCTACTTGATCTATGACAGAGGTGGTCTTGCAAATAACTGGGGAAAGTGAATATTGTGTAATAAATGGTGCTGGGACAATTGCTTATCCATATGGAAAATGAATACATTGAATAAATAATTAAATTGATCCCATCCTCACACCATATACTAACGACTTAAGAAAGACAGAATTTTGCATCTTTTTTTTTAAAAATAGGTCATTTTCTAGAGAAGTTTTAGGTTTACAGCAAAATTGAGAGGAAGGTACAGAGATTTCCCACATATTTCCTGCCCCAACTCATGTATAGCCTCCCCTGTTATCAACTTCTTCCCGCAGAGTGGTACATTCATCAGAATTGATGACCCTACATTGACACATAATTATCACCCAAAGTCCGCAGTCTACATTAAGGGTTCCCTCTTGGTGTTTTGCATTCTGTGGTTTTGGACAAATGTGTAATGACATATATCCACCATTATAGTACCATATCAAGTAGTTTCACTGCCATAAAAATCCTCTGTGCTGCATCTAAAGACGAGTTGGCTATATCTATGTGCAGCCGTTTCTGGTCTCTATTCTATTCCATTGTTTCATTTGTCTATTCCTTTGCTAATACCACATTGTCTTGATTACTGTAGCTTTACAGTTAAGTCTTTTTCTAAAAATAATTTTTATTCAGGTATAGGTGACTTACTTTACAGTAAGTCTTGAAGTCAGGTAGTGTCAGTCCTCCAACTTGCTCTTCAATATTCTGTTGGCTATTCTGGGGTTTTCTGTTTGTTTTGCTTTGTTTTCTTTGTTTTGTGTCTCCATATAAACTTAAGAATCAGTTTGTTGATATCCACAAAATAACGTGATGGGATTTTGATTGGGATTGCACCGAATCTACAGATCGAGTTGGGAAGAACTGACAATATTGAGTTTTCCTACCCGTGAACATGAAATAGCTCTCCATTTTTTTACTTCTTTAATATCTTTCATCAGAGTTTTGAAGTTTTTCTTGTACAGACTTTATACATATTTTGTTAGACTTATACCTAAGTATTTAATTTGGGAGGGGTCAAATGTAAATGGCATTGTGTTTTTAATTTCAAATTCCATTTCTTCATTGTTGGTATACAGCAAAGCAATTGACTTGTGTCCTGCAACATTGCTATAGTTGCTTATCAGTTCCAGAAGTTTTTTTGGTCCGTTCTTTGGGTTTTTCTACATAGATGATCATGTCATAGGTGAACAAAAAAGTTTATTTCTTCTCAGTAGGTATCCCTTTTATTTCCTTTTCTAGTCTTAACCATTAGCTAGGACTTTCCATATTGTGTTGAAAAATAGTGGGGAGAGGGAACACATTTGCCTTGTTCTTGACTCTAGTGGAAAACTTCAAGCTTCTCATCATTAAGTGTGATGTGAGCTGTAAGTCTTTTGTAGATATTCTTTATCGAGTTGAAGATCTCCTCTATGCTTAGTTGACTAAGCTTACATGACTTTTTATCATGAATGAACATTTGTATCTTTCAAAAGATGTTGGAGACATCTTGATGCCCATAATTAAATAAGACACAAAATCCATAAACAAGAAAAGATTGATAAATTCAACCAGATGAAAATAAATAACTTCTGTTCATCAAAAGACTCTATACAGTGAAAAAGCAAGAGAAGAAGATATCTGAGAAGATATTCACAGCATAAACCCTACAAAGGCTTAGCATCCGTAATATTTAAAGAACTTGGGCTATTCAACGTGAAAAAGACAAACAACTCAATAGAAAAAAAAAAAGCCCAGGGCAAAAGATACAAACAGGCCTTCACAGAAATTGAAACACAAGTGGATGATAAACATCTGAAGAGGAGCTCCACCTCACTAATAAATAAAGAAATGAAATATTAAAGCCTTGAGACAGGGTTTTACACCTATTTGATTGGTAAAAAACACATCATAGACTATATGGTTCAACGACAACTTTAACACACCGCTCATGGGAGTGTCAAGTTAAGCATTTTGTAAAAGAACTTGCTGTTATCTTGTAAAGTCAAACATTAGCCCACCCCAAACCCAGCAATTCCACTCTTGGAGAATCTTTTGTACATGTACACCAGGAGACACGTTCAAGGATGTTCAGAGCAGCCCTTTCTGTGACAGTAAATGACCCACAGACAGTGAAATCCTCACAGACAGAAGGGCTAATAAATTGGAGCAGATTCAAACCGTAGTGGAAACAACTTAGAGAGGCAGCCCTCACTCCATAATGTCACAAGACATGGATTTTATGATTACACTTTTTATTTTTGTAATAAAGTTCTTTGTCTCCATATCAAAAGCTGTAGGTATCCCTTATAGAGAATTAGGAAAATACGGGAAAAGTACGTAGGCTTCTGAGATGTCTCCAATAATCCCCACCTCTGGTGTTCATGCCCTTATGTAACTCCCTCCCCTTGAGTGTAGGAAGTCCCCAGAGACTTCCTTTCAACCAATGGAAAATGGCAAAAGTAATGGGCTGTTACAAAAGACCTCTTCCCCCACCTCTTTTTCTTTCTCTCTCCTCTCTCTCTCTCTCTCTCTCTCTCTCTCTCTCTCTCTCTCTCTCTCTCACCTTCGCTCACCTTGATGAAGCCAGCTGCCATGCTGGGAGCTATGGAGAGGCCCACATGGCAGGGAACTGGGGGAGGCTTCCTGCCAGCCACATGAAGGGAACTGAGGCCCTCAGTCCACAAGCCCACGAGGAGCACAATTCTGCAAGAGCCACATGACTGAGCTTGGACGCAGGGCTGCCCTGGTCAAGCCTCAACATGACTTTAGCCCCACTGACACCTTGATTGCAGCCTTTGAGCCCCCAGGGCAGAGGGCCCAACTAAGCCACAATGGATCCTGACCCACAGAAACTGAGATCATAAACGCTATTGTTTTGAGCCAGCACATTTTGGGGCAATTTGTTACATGGTGATAGATAACTAATACAGGATCAGTCCTTGACAAAGACACCATTCCACTTCTGCTAAACTCTAACAGCAGGTGTCCCTGTGTGTCCCCTGGTGCAGGCACTGGCTTTCCTACCTGACCCCAACTGCTCCCAGCACAATAGTGGCCGGGTAGCAGGATGGCTGGGTTGTCGTCCCTGGGAGGCACTGACTGTCTGGGTCGGGGAGACAGCCAGGGTCAATGTGGATAAAGTATACAAACTATGCCTGCCACCACATCGAATAGCCCAGGGGCCAGTCTGTCTACACCAGCTGGCTACAGCACGTGCCTGTGGATGTGGTGTCTGCAGCTGGTTGGGGCTCTTTGTGGTCAGACACTTGCCTGCAGACTAGCAGGGACGCAGGGCCTCAGCTGCCCATGGGAAACCTCTCCCAGTCCATCCTGGGAACAGCAGGCAGCCTCAAAGGGATGGAGAGTGGCGATGGGCTTGGGCCACTTCTGACAGGCTGTGTGACCTTGGCCTAGGCACTGACCCTCTCTGGTCTCACTTTCTTTCTCTGTAAAATGGGAATAACATTTACTACGATGATGCTTTCTACGATGTTGTGCAGATTGAAGGGCCCATGTGTGGTGCTCGGCCCTCTTCAGTAGCTAGGTAATAATATCAGAAATGAAGGGACATCATGGTAACAGTAATAATAAGGAATGCGTGGCCCTTGCTGGAGGAGATGGAGGGATGGTACAGCAGAACCAGTGCCCCTCTGCTCAAGTGCCTCAGTTGACCCTACACCTCCCTGGCCAAACCAAAACTTAAGAAAGGCCCTGGTTTCTCTGCCAAAGCCCGGAGGCTCCTTCTCTGCTCCATGCGCAGCTGTTTGCCTTTATGCTTACAAAGCCGAGGTGGGAAGCCAGGCGTCCCCAGCTGCCCAGGTGCTGTGGCAGGAGGATGGGGATGGGAGAGGGACACACCATGTGTCTGTTACAACAGGAGAACGAACAAGCGGCTCAAAGAACAAGGGGGAGACAGAGACTTGGAGACAGAGACAGTGGGGGACAAAGCAGGACGCAGGACCTGCCCGCGGGGCGGTTCCCCTAGGCTCGCTCGGCCTGGCATGGCTTCCTCTCCAGAACCAAGAGACGGGTGTGGACAGATGGGTCTGCCACCTGCTGGGGCTCTACAGCCATCCTCTCTGCCAGATGGGAAACCAAGGCTCAGAGAGGTGAGGCCCTGCTGGGAAGTGGCACCACTGGGATTTGATTTAGGATGCGTGTTCTTTCCTTTGGCTGTTTTCCAGACCCTCTCAGGTCCTAAACAAGGGACTTTCATAAACACACAAGGGTTTTTACTGTGTTGGGGGCTGGGGGACCCGTGTGTGCTATTGTAAGATAACCCAGAGCTGAATCTTCTAGTAACTTCCAATAGCCTCCATAGAGGCAGCACCAAGAACTTGAGCCCCAGACAAATGACATCATTCCTTCAGCTCCTGCATCTAACATTTCCTTACAACGACCACCAGATGGGCAGCAGCGTCTGCAACACTCTCACGTTCAACAACACATGCAATCCTTACGGAAAAGGGGGACCACTCTGCCAGACTCTTGGCATGCATTGTATAATTTAATCCTCACTGCAACTCAGCAGGGTGGGTGTTAATTTCCCCATTTTACAGATGAGTAAGCTGAGGCTCAGAGACACTAACAATCTTGCCCTGCTCCCCACTGTCACACTGAGTGGTTTCCTGTTGAGAAGGAGGCGCCAGAGGAAAAGGAGTACCCCAGTGATTGCAGCTCCAGAATGCCCAGGGTCCTCCGTGGTTGCCACCTCCTGGAACCCACCCCCCACCCCTTCTGGATCTCTCAAGTCCTCTGGAAGCTCTGGAAGCTCTACCAGCCAGACAGCAGTGCCTAGCAAGGCCAGACCCACAGCACTGGGAGGCAGCGTGTGCTGGGGAAGCAGGGGGAGTTTGGGGGTCAGACAGTGCTGGGTTCAAATCTCCTGGCTTTGACACCTTTAATTTGGGTGACCTTGGGTAGGGGTTTTCACCTCTTGAGGCCTCAGTTTACTCCTCTCTAAAATGGGCACGCCAATAGTGTTTACCTTGCAGAATTTCTGTGAGGATTAGAAACCAGGAACAGAAGGGCCTGGCACGTGGTAGCCGGAGTCAAGATCCCTCCCTGACTCCAGCTGCAAGCATCACAGAAAGCCCTCGACAGGTTTCAATATTCATCTCAGGTCAGCGGAATTTTGTTTGAATATAATCAGTGTATTTCCCATTGCAGGCAAAGTACTTTCCAAACTCAGAATGAAAATCATAAGCAGAGCTTGTCAGAGCAGCTCTGGAAACGCACCCATAGCCTGTGGTCTGTACCTCCGCAACCTTGTCTTTCTAACCCCTGGGACCTCTGAGCCCAGCTGCAGGGACACAGCTTGAGCAAAGGTACGGAAGCTTGTGCTGGGAGGGGGTCAAGGAAGCAGTGCTGGGGAGGGGGGTTTGCCAAGCCCATCTGTGTTTTTGGAAGGGAATTCAGGCTGAGTGAGGGTGGTGGCTGCACAGGACATGGCTGCTGGCAGGGAGCTGCTGTGAAGGGCAGGCAAGAAGTGACAGGAAGGGCTGGTCCAGGGATGGAGCGGGAGAGAGGAGGGTCCCAGAGCCAGACTGCCTGGGTTTCAATCCTGGCTCCCTTACTAACTAGCTGTGTGGCTTCAGTGGGTTACTCAACTTCTCAGAGCCTCAGCTTTCCCTTCTGCAAAATGGGAATTACAGCACTGCCTACCTCATAAGGGGGCTGAATGAGTTGTGTGTACCAAGTGTGATGTGAATATCAGCCATTATTGTGTGAGACACCACACATCACAAGGGCGCATGAATACAGGGCTCGTTGCCTCACTAATGGGAGGGCTGTCTCCTGGGAGTCAGGTGGCCTCAGATGACCGTCAGCCTCTTCTTCCTGTACTCCTCACCCTCTCAGTCTCTGCTGTTCTCCTACTGCTGGCTGGGGGCTGGAAGCGAGCGACACTTCCAAGGAAATGTGCCAGACACTCCTGTGGGCACCATTCTAGGACCACAGATGCTCAGCCTGGAGCATCTGTGGAGCATCAGATGGAGGAAGCCAGGGGCTGCCACTACTATTACTGACAACAGCAATGACCCCAACCATGCCCACCAAGAGCGTTCCTAGACCATCTTGTTTAGCCAGAGCCTGGCACAGGGCTTGGACATAATAGGTATTCAATTGGTATTTGTTGAATGAATTAATTAATGGGTGAACGAATGAACAACTACCAGGGGTAGGCCCAGCACTGTGCTAAGTACTTAACAAACATTTTTATGGTTTTCACATTTAATCCCTACAAGCACTCTACGAAGTGGGTATAATCCCCATTTCACAGATGAGGAAACTGAGGCTCAGTTGCCCAAGGCAGCCCAGCTAGCCAATAGCAGGGCCTGGTCTCCTCGGCCTCTCTATGCCACAGCCTGTCTCATCACACCCACGCTATTACCCACCCATGGAGGGAGGCTTGGCTGAGAGGTGTAGGGCAACAAACTGCAGGGGGATCCAGGTCTGGGCTATGAAGTCCAGGGTCCAGCCTTGCTTCCAGGGCACACTTGCTGTGTGACCTTAGGTAAGTCACAGACCCTCTCTGAGCTCCCATTGCCTCAATGGTGAAAGGATATGGTCCTGTTTGCCCTATAATAATGCATTTGTGGTGAGGCTCTGGGGAAGACCCACTTGTTCATGGCAATGAACTCACTGCCTTGAGTCCACGCACATCCCAGGGCCACTCAGGTCTTAGCTCTCTAGCTTCTCCCTTGCCGGTGGCTGCAGAGGCTGGAGCCTGAAGCTTGAGGAAAACACACGTCTTGTGTCAGCAGAACCTGCTCATCCAGCATCACCAGACCTGCCCCCCAACCCCAGAATGTCCCCTGCTCACCCGTAGACATCCAGCTGAGTCTCGGTGCCCAGCACACACACGTCATAGGTGGGCTGCTCTGGGGCCACATGGATCACTGTACCCTGGGCCATCATCTGGCCAGCTCGTCCCTCCGGCTGTAGAAAGCCCCAGGGCTGGTTCATTCACAGCGCCCAGTGCCCAGCGGAGGCCATGAGTCAGCACCTGTGGTTTGTGGCCCAGCCCCTCCCCACTCAGGTCCCCAGCATGTCTTCTCAGCCCCTCCTCTGCCCTGGAGCTTCCCCCTCAGACCAGGACCCTGTTTGGTGTTGATGCCAGAATCAGTGGCAGCCTGTATCGTTAGTTTCCTGGGAAGAGCCGAGAGATCAGGAAGCCTGGGGGTAGGGGTGCAATTCTGAGGCCTCATGCCCACTGCCCCATCCCTGCCCCATCCCCTGGGACCGTGAACTCCTGGATTCATCCAACCTTGCTTCACTGTGCCAAACAGGGTATCAGAGAGGAGAAGGCAAGAAAAGTGGGGAGGCTGGGAGATTTTAGGCACAAGGTCACAGACCGGGCTACACATTCAAAGACTGATCTGGCTTGGGCCAGGTCTCCCCAGGCTGGGTCACCCACGTGACATCCCACCCTTCTGTATTTTCTGTGTGCCGGGCACCTTTCTCTGGCCGTCTTGTGGAATAACTCACTAAGGCAAGCCTGTGAGGTAGATACTATTATAATTCCCTCAGTTCATTCTCTCAGCATCTCTCTGAGGTCAGTACAACTATTATCCCCAATTTCCAGAAGAAGAAACTGAGGCACAGAGAGGTTACACAGCTAGAAAGCAGTAGAGCCAGGATTTGAACCAAAGGCATCCTGCTCTTGGGGGTATGAGATTTATCAGCTGCCTGTCCACGTGACACGAGCTTTTCAGACTTTAACATATCTACTTCTTACGGCAGTACAAGGTCTGCATGGGCTTGTTATTACTACCCATTTTACAGACGGGAAAACAGAGGCGCAGAGAAGAAAGGTGATGGGCCCAAGGCACCATAGCTAGTATGTGGCAGAGCTTGAAGCCAGAGTTCCCTGCACACGTGGGAACACTCACTCAGCCACAGAGCCATGGGTGTGGGCCACTGGTGCTAGGCTCTGCCTGCTAGTCGGGTGATGGGTGAGGGGTTGGAGGGACAAATCCCAGAGGGAACACCCAGAGGAGGCGTGCACAGGGATCTGGAGTGAACAGTGTGTGTCTTGGGGGTTGGAGATTGTGTGTGTGTTTTTTGTTTTCTCCGGCTTTGAAACAAGGCCTTTGCCTCGTTAATTAAGAGCCGGGCTGTGGAATTAGACAGGCCTGAGTTCCAATCCTGCTTCATACCAACGTCCCCATGAAGTGGGTCCTATCACAATGCCCACATTATAGTGAGGCCACCGAGGCTTCAAAACATGAATTGGGGATGGGGAGCACTGCTGGACGTGAAGGCTGTTTACAGATTTTCTGTATCATAAACCACTCTGTGATGCATTCATTGTGCCCGTGTCTGTGGTTATTGGCAGGGACTTTGTGTATTTATCTTTGTCTCTCTTTATTCTCTTGCAGAGCATTTGGTTCTTTTCGTGAAATTTGCCACAGCTTGTCATTGTGTGTGTGTGTGTGTGTGTGTGTGTGTGTGTTTAAATGTCTGTGCCCCAACTAGGCGTGAGAGCAGGGCCTTTGTCAGTTTCAGCTGCACCCTCAGTGCCTAGAACAGCTCCTGACTTGTAGTAGGTGCTCACTAAACCCTTGTGGCTGAAGACCATGGTGTTCTCCAGCACCCAGCACCCAGCCCATGGTGGGACCCCTGAGGGCAGTTTCCTGTGAGGATCCCTGAAAACCTGGCCTGGCCCTGGCCTGGCCGTTACCCTCACAGAAGACATTACCCTTTCAGAGCCTGAAGGGGGCTTTGGGGTTTGGGAAGCAAATCCTTTTGCACATGAGGGCATCTGGCTCAGAATCCAGGCCAGAAACCCCAGAGGAAGGGGCCCTCTCTTTCTGCTGAAAGGCAGAAACACCAGCCCAGCTGCTCGCCAGGAGGAAGCCAGGTTGTGCTGAGGGTTGCCTGATGCTCTCTGGGCGTTTGGGGCCAGGTCACTGGGCACCTGAACTGATGCCCCAGTGACCAGCCTGGCTATCCTCCTCTAGGTGATTGTGATGATGTCATTCTGGGCAAAGGAACTGGCATGAGGGATCGTTCCCAGAGGCTGCAGGACTGAGTATGCTGCAAAGTTGTGCTTGGAGGAGATGGCTGGGCCGTTCCTTGAGTGTTCTTCATTCATAGATACAGCTCAGATTCATTTATTTAGCTCTTCACCCAACAAATATTCATCCAATGCCTCTCAAGTCCCTGGCGCTCTCTTAGAGGCTAATTAGGCTTTGTCTAAAACAGATTTACAAGGACAAAGGTGATAACAGAGACTCCCATCTATTAGACATCCACCACGTGCCACACTTGCCACCAGGTCCTTAGGCTGTATTCTTTCTTTCTTTCTTTCTTTTTTAATATTTATTTACGTATTTATGTGGTTGCACCAGGTCTTTTTTTTTAAACAGTTTTTATTGCATACATTTGTATACTATTTTTTAAAAATAAATTTATTTATTTATGGCTGCGTTGGGTCTTCGTTGCTGCTTCGTTCTCTAGTTGCAGTGAGGGGGGCTACTCTTCATTGCAGTGCGCAGGCTTCTCTTGTTGTGGAGCACGGGCTCTAGGCATGCAGGCTTCAGTAGTTGTGGCACGTGGGCTCAGTAGTTGTGGCGCACGGACTTAGTTGCTTCACGGCATGTGGGATCTTCCTGGACCAAGGATTGAACCTGTGTCCCCTGCATTGGCAGGAAGATTCTTAACCACTGCGCCACCAGGGAAGTGCCTGCACCAGGTCTTAGTTGTGGCATGTGGGCTTATTAGTTGTGGCATGTGAACTTTTAGTTGTGGCATGCATGTGGGATCTAGTTCCCTGATCAGGGATCAAACCCAGGCCCCCTGCACTGGGAGCATGGAGTCTTAACCACTGCACCACCAGGAAGTCCCTGGGCTGTATTACTTCTAATTCTCACCATAAACCAGTGGGCAGGACTTTTAGTCTCATTTCTGCAGAGGCATGAAGCACCGTGCTCAAGGCCACATGGCTTCTAAGTGGGTTTCAAACCCAGCTTTGTCTAACTTGCTCTGCTTTCTGGTGTGGTCCTTACCTGTGCCAGGCTGCTGACATGCATCATCTCTAATCCTCACAGCAAAATTTGTCTGAATTATACTCTCCCCATTTTCCAGATGAGGAAACTGAGTCTTGCAGGGGTTAGGTAACTTGCCCACGGTTGCACAGACAGGAAGTCGTGACATTTGGATTGAACTTTACCCCTTGTCCCACTCCATGCAATGTGCAGCTGCCTCCTGGTCAGGTCTCTTTGGCCAATGAGCTCTGAAGTCCCTTTGAGCACAAAGAACCCCAGCCTCTCCATAACTTCAAGTAGAAAACTGGGAGTGTATCTAGATCATCCAGACTGGCCAAAATTGGCAAGTCTCCCCTTCTTACTAAGGTGTTCATCTAAGAGCCCTGTGTCTGCACTTTCTTCCTCTTTCTGTTCCCACAGCCCTGTCCCGCCCCCAGCACCTCTCTCTGCTTTCCTTCATATAACCCATCCAGGCTCTGGAAGGATTTGGGCATACAAGAGCAACATCTGACTCTAAGATGTGCCAGGCCCTGCCCTGCACTGTTTTTATTGCACCCACTCATGTGAACCCCACAACAACGTGATAAAGGGAAGACCTGTTAGTCATTGACAGATGAGCATTACTTCAGGGGCAGAGACGGGAGGTGGACTACAGTTCTGTCTGCATTGAAAGACTGTGAGCTTCCACTATGCCATCTTTGAGAAGGGGAAGGGGACCTAGCAAGAGGAAGGTCAATGCCCCTGCATTCCTTTTCTGGAACTGGCTCCTACCCTATCTTTGACCCCAGGTGCCCACTTTCCTTTTCTAGCATCCAGGATTTCTCCTGGGGAAAATGACCATGAGAATGTCAGCACCACAAAAGCAGGAACTTTCCTTTGTTCATTGCTATACCCTTAGTGCTTAGAATAGTGTCTGGCTCAGAGTACGTGTACAAGAAATATTGTATTTTATTAAATAGAAAACACCATTTATTTTAAGATACATCCTTGCTCCATCACAATTTGTTGAAAAGACTATCCTTCCTCCATTGAATTGCTTTTGCAATTTTGTCAGAGATTCAGTTGGCCATACTTGTGTGGGTTGTTTCTGTGTCCTCTATTTCATTTACTTGATCTATGTGTCTATCCACCAACCACAGTTTTGACTACTAAAGCTGTATCTTGAAATTGGGTAGACTAATTGCTCTCACTTTATTCTTTTTCAAAAATATTTTAGCTATTATAGTTCCTTCATAATTTCATATAGTTTTAGAGTAATCTTACCTATATCTACCAAAAAAATCTTTCTGGGATTCTGATAGTAATTGCATTAAATTTCTATATCAGTTTGGGGAGGATTGACATTTTACTATGTTGAGTTTTCCAATCCTTGAACATGGTATGGTTCTCCATTTATTTAGATCTTCTTTCAACAGCCTTTTGTAGCTTTTAGCATACAAGTTGTGTACATTTACACCTAAGTATTTCATTTTCGGGGAACAATTGTAAATGGTATTGTAGTCTTAATTTCGTCCACCTGTTCATTGCTAGTATATCAAAATTCAATTGATTTTTAGCTATTAATCTTGTATCCCATGACTTTGCTAAACTCATTTATTAGTTCTAAGAGTTTTTCAGTAGATTCCTTGGGATTTTCTATGTAAACAATCATGTCTTCTGCAAATAGAGGCAGTCTTATTTCTTCCTTCCTCATTTGTATGTCTTTTATTTCTTTTCTTGGTTTATCACACTTGCTAGAACTTTCAGTACTAAGTTGAATAACAGTGGCAAGAGTGGTCATCTTGTTTCATTCTCAGTCTTGTGAGGAAAGTGTGCAGTCTTTCACCATTAGGTATGTTGTTAACTGTAGATTTTTTGTATGTGCCCTTTATCAGGAGAGGAAGTTCCTCTCTATTCCTAATCTGCAAAGAGTTTTAATCATGAATG